TGGTGGTGGCACACGCCTTTAATCCAGCACTCGGGAGGCAGAGGCAGGTGGATCTCTATTAGTTCCAGGACAGGCTCCAAAGCCACAGAGAAACCCTGTCTCGAAAAACAAAAAAAAACAACAAAAAAAAAAGTACATTAACCAGGTGGTACACGCCTTTAATCCCAGCACTTGGGAGGCAGAGGCAGATGGATCTCTGAGTTTGAGACCAGCCTGGTCCCCACAGCTAATTCCAGGGCAGTCAAGGATATACAGAGACACTCTGTCTTGAAAACCAAAAACCAAACCAAAACAACAATTAAAAAAAAAAAAAAAGAAAACTAAAAAAATAGTACATTAGCCACGTGTAGTGGTGGTGCTGATGGTGGTGTACGTCTTTAATTCTATTTATTTATTTAATTTTATTTATTTATTTATTTATTTTGGTTTTTCAAGACAGGGTTACTCTGTGGCTTTGGAGCCTGTCCTGGAACTAGCTCTGTAGACCAGGTTGGTCTCGAACTCACAGAGATCCGCCTGCCTCTGCCTCACGAGTGCTGGATTAAAGGCGTGTACCATCACCGCCCGGCAAATGAAATTTTTTTTTTTGGTTTTTCGAGACAGGGTTTCTCTGTGGCTTTGGAGTCTGTCCTGGAACTAGCTTTGTAGATGAGGCTGGTCTCGAACTCACAGAGATCCGCCTGCCTCTGCCTCCTGAGTGCTGGGATTAAAGGCGTGCGCCAACACCGCCTGGCACGTCTTTAATTCTTGCACTCAAGGTAGAGGTAGGTGATTTCTGTGAAATCAAGGTTACTTGGTCTAGACTAGCATGGAATATGAGAGAGAGAGAGAGAGAGAGAGAGAGAGAGAGAGAGAGAGGCCCTATCTACTTCCCTATCCCACTCCCGCAAAAGAAAAATGTGTTCATCTTTCTAAGTCTTAGGATTATCATATTAAAGGCATGATTAGAGAATAGAACTGCAATGGCCTCAAGCTATGCTTTGAAAGTTGTTTTTTATTATAAAATTTAAAATTGCACTTATTTGTATGTATTTATGTGTGTGTACTATGGTGCATATGTAAAGTCAGAAACTAACTTTGGGGGCTTGGCTCTCTCCTTCCATCATGTAGGTCCTGGGGGTTGAACTCAGGTCATCGGGTTGAGCAGCAAGTGCCTTTTAACCATCATGCCAGACCTGTTTCTATTTAGAGATGGTCTTGCATTGTAGGCCAAGTTGGCCCCAGACTTTCTATGTAGCCCACAAAGACCTTATACTTAAAATCTTCTTGACTCAGCCTCTTGGGTGCTAGGATTACAGGGATGTGCTTTATAGCATTAAGTTATTCACTGAGAATGCCTCTGTAGGAATAAAAGCATATGCCAGGTATAGTTAGTGAATGTCTGAGATTCCACCACTAAGGCGAGTCTGAAGCCAGTTTGGACTACATAGAGACTCTGAGGACAGAATACTGAGTGGTTAGGTATAGTGGTGGTGGTACATGCCTTCAATCGTAGCTCTCAGAGGAAGAGGTGGGGTGGGGGGACTTCTGTGAATTCAAGGTTACTATAGTCCCCCCCTCTCTCTTGGTGTGTGTGTATATGGAGGGGGAACATGAGCACATAAAGACCACAACATACATGAGAAAGTCAAGGTCAGAGAGGACAACTTGTAGGAGTCCATTCTCTCCATATGGGTCCCCGGGATCAAACTGAAGTCATCAGGTTTTTATGGCAAGTGCCCTGGTAGCACAAGAGATAGTGCCAGGTTGTACTGGAACTCACAGATCCGTCTGCCTGCCTCCCAAGTGCTGGGATTAAAGGTGTGTGCCACCATGCCTGGAACACAAGGCCTTAATTTTTGGGTTTGTGTTTGTTGAGACTGGGTCTTTGTAGCCCTGGCTGTCCTGGAACTCCCTCTATAGACCAGGCTGGCCTCAAAGTCATCAAGATCTGTCAGCCTTTGTCTCCTGAGGGCTGGTATTAAAAGTATATACCACCACTGCCTCTCAAAAAAAAAAAAAAAGATTTAATAAGGATTAAACTGGGCATCCACAGAGAAGAGAGACATGGCTTTCTCCAGAGAGAGTGGTCTATAGGACAGTTTTTAAATTCTTATGCCAGGCTACCTCTTACTAAGTATTCCATTTCCTGTATATAGACTTATAAAAACTATCCTGTCCTTAGACATAGTATATTTCAAGACTAAAATTATTTTAGACTTCTTTATATAACACTTTAAAAATAAATTTATTTTTATTTTACGTGTATTGGTGCGTTGCCATGGGTGTCTGGTTCCCTGGAAGCTGGAGTTATAGACAACTGCCATGGAGGTGCTGGGAACTGGACCTGGGTCCTCTGGAAGAGCATGCTGAGCCATCTCTCCAGACCCTTTTGACTCACTTTTTACAACAAATTTTATTTTGAAAAGAGGGCAACTTAATCAGATTTGAAATGAACTCTTCCTTGTAGAACTGTAGTGTATTTGATAACGAAACTGGACTAGGTCTTTAGAGGGATTTTACGTGTTGAGTGAGTGATAAAAAAGAATATGGCCTCAAATAAGAGTCCTTTAAAAACATTTTAATTACTAATTTTTGAGACAAGGCTTCATTATGTATCCCTTCCTGGCCTGTAACTCCCTATGTAGACCAGACTTGCCTTAAACTTGGAGATTCTCCGCCTCTACCGCTCTGGCGCTGCAATTAAAGGTCTGTGCCACTATTCCTGGTTTATCTGTTAATGAAAAAGGTTTTCTTTTTTTTTTCTTTCTTTCTTTTTTTTGGTTTTTCGAGACAGGGTTTCTCTGTAGCTTTGGAGCCTGACCTGGAACTAGCTCTTATAGCTCAGGCTGGCCTTGAACTCACAGAGATCCTCCTGCCTCTGCCTTCTGAGTGCTGGGATTAAAGGCGTGCGCCACCACCCGCTGGGCTCAAAAAATGATTTCTTTCTTTCCTTGCAGCCCTTCTTCCTTTCTTCCTCTTCTTTTAAGAATGTCAGGCATTGTGGTTCATGTCTGTAATAATCCTAGCCCTTGGGAGGCAGAGGCAAAAAGATCAGGAATTCAGAACAGTCTAGGCCACAGGATACTCTGTCTTCAAAATGAAAACGAAAGTTAAGAATATTTTGGGTAGTTTTCACATAGCAGATTAATTAGAGGAAGGCATGTAGACAGATATTCCCAATTCACTGAGACTTAAGACACCCCTGGGGGTAAGACTGAGTGAGGGTGAGGGAGAGAAACCCTCCTTTGACACCAGACCTTCAAGGAAAAAAATGTTCAAAAGAACAATTTTAAAGATGCAGTCAGTCATACAAAGAGTGAAGAATTATTAGGATCATAGATCTTAAAGCTAATATGGATGGGGGAGATCTGGCTCAATAGTAAAATTGTCTAGCAAGCAGAAGGCCTTGGGTTCTACCCATCACAGAGCCAATGAGAAGAAAAAGGAAAACAAAGTAACACCAAACCACCCAACAAAACCCTCATCTCAGGGTTGGAGAGATGGCTCAGTGGTTAAGAGCTCTAATTGCTCTTCCAGAGGACCTAGGTTCAAATCCCAGCACCTACATGGCAGCTCATAACGACCTGTAACTCTAAGATCTGAAACCTTCACACAGGAGAAAAAGAAATGACTTGAAATGGAGACTGGGATTAAGAAAACAAAAAGACTCTTCTAGAACAGCATGGACAGAACACCAATGTACATAAAATAATATTTTAAAAAACCAGAACAAACAAAAAAAACAAACAAAACCCTCACCTCTCAAGGTTGGTGCATTGCCTAACTTAAGAGGCAGAGGAGGTGGATTTCTCTAAGTTCAGGGCCAGCTCGGTATACACATTGGGTTCCAGGCCATCCAGGGCTATATAGTGAGACTCTGTCTCAAACAAAAAACAAAGAAACCAAACCAACACCAACTTCACATATAAACCCAACCAAAACCTTCAAAATCTTTACTGTCAAATTCTTAATAAGTTAAAATAATTAAAAACAGACAGGTTATTACATTTGTAGGATTATTAGGTATAATGCATGCATCATTACTGTTTTACAGGTTAAAAGAAATATTAATTAACGACGCTTTTGTTTGACGGCTCCTGGAACAAAGATAGATGGGATAATCAACACCAAGACCCAAACTAATACAAGTTTTTAAATGTAATTTTATAAGAATATGGCCTATTAAAATTTGGGGGTACATGAACAGCTTAATGATTGGATAAGCTCGGCCAGGAATCTGTGGAGGCCCAGATCAACCAGAGTAACTCGTGGCACAATACATTATCCAAAGCCTACCCTAGACAACCAAAACACTTGGAGGAAAAAAAAAGGCCCCCGGGGTTACTTTACCCCAGCGAAAACATAACCCTCGTTCTTATTGTTGTGGAGCAGATGTCATTATGGGTGGGGCTGATGAGCAGAGCAGCTGAAACATTTTTGTTGTCCCCCCCACACACACTTTCAAAGAGATAGAAGGGGCTCCAGTAAGGTAAGGAAAGAACGTTCAGTCAGTCATTCATGTTAGACAGAGAAATTTTGATGTGGTAACTGTAGAGGCCACCTTGAGGTTTTTTAAAAAAAAAAAAAAATCCCCCAGGATTAAGTCCTACCCTGGAAGAGACCGTCCCTTTCTCCCCCTGCCGGCTCCTCCTTGGGACACTTGGCTGAGTCTTTCTTTCCCTCCTTCCCACGCTGAGGTGAGGCGGCACGCAAGCAGGGACGCCTGTTTTTCTCTGGCGCGCGGAGGGAACGCAGCGGGTAGGAATCCGGGAGGTAGGAAGGGAAGCGGTCGGCACTGGGGGAGGGGAAGGCAAGGAAGGCTCGCCAGGGACAAGACGGCCTCGGGCAGAGAACCGACTCTCAGGCCGCGGAGCAGAGGTGACGAGGGGAGATCTTTCGCTGTGAGCGGCGCTTCCGGCAGGCCACGGTGGCTGTTTGCCTGGAGCGGGCCTCATCGCGGGGCCCGGCCGGGCGGGGAAGGGGGTCAGGAGAGACAGGAACCCGCGGCTCCCACTTGCCTGAGTCTGAGTGACCAACAACTGGTAATAGTCTTTGCTCGGCGCCGGGCCTTGTCCTACAATTTCAAACAGAGTCTCCGGCAGCCACGACGCCATCTTGGGACGCCACCGCCGTCGCTAAGACAACCAGGAAGGGGCGGGGCTTGACAGGGGTCAGGGGGCCGCAGCCCCAGTTTAAAGCGAAGCCCGCTTTTTAAGTTGGCACTGGGGGTTTTAACTTGGTGTCGTGGTTTCCTTGACCAGGGGTCACGAGGAGCCCTGCTTTGTGAATTTTTTACAATCAGGTCCCGGGGTGACCCGAAGTGGAATTTAGTTCCTGCTAGCGCGGAGGGGCGGGGGTGACCCCAGCGGAGGGATACCAAGTGGAGTGCCACAGTCCCCTTCCTGGTCCCTTGAAGGGATCGGAAGGAGACTCGAAGCTGCGCGCCGAGCGGAGCCGAGCGCTGGGGAGGGAGGGGCGATATGTTGGGCTGTAAATAGGTGGCGGGGCTGGTCCTGCGGAAGATCCCGCAGGCCGGGGCCTCAGGGCAAAGTAGTCCCCCGCTGGAGCCGAGCGGGCGGGGAGGGAGGCGGCGCGGGCGGAGGCGCACGGCGGAGCGGTGCTGCGGCTCAGCTGATAATTGAAGGGACGACCAGCCGCCGCCACCGACGCCGCTGGGGGGGGTGGGGGGAGCCCGTGGAAGTTGCCGTCGCGCCACCGAGTCCGGACCGGAGACTTTGGGGCCTAACTAGGTAATTGGGACGCCGTTCGGAGCGGCGGGATTGGGCCTTGGGGGAGGGGGGAGGCGATGAGGAGGCCTGGGAAGCCTGAGCCGAAAGTCCCCAGCAGCCCGCTCGTGTCATCGTGGCGACGCGGCTCTCGGCCCGACTTGCCGCCGCCGGCGGCGGGGCCGCGGAAGGACCAGCCCGAGGCTGACGGGTGAGGCGCTCGAGCGAGCCCCGCGGCCTCAGGAGCCGGGGCCGACTGGCTTGGGGTGTGTGGGGGAGCGCTGGGTCCCCCCCCCCCTCCCGCTCTGGCCTCCCGCGATGAGGAAGGCCCTAGGCGGAACCTGGGTAGGGCGTGCGGGTCTGGGGGAGCCCAGCGGGGGGCGGGAGGGGACCGGAAGTGGTCTTTGGAGCCTGGAGGGCGTCTAGGAAGAGAGAAAGTGGGGGGCCGGAAGTGCAGGTGGGGGCGTGAAGACGGCAAAGGGTTCCCCGGAAATGGGACGGGGGGCCCGGAAACAGGGAAAGGGAGGTTTTGGGCTGTGGATGGCCCGGAAATGGAAACTGAGGAGCTGCTCGAGTGACAACTGTTGGGAGGCAAGGCTCTGAGGAGGGAGAGGCGGGAGTGACTTTGGGCCGCGGTAAGGGTCTTCCTGTTGAGGGGGACGGTTGGGGGCGGGCGAGCCAACGCGGAGAGGAGGGAGGCTTTTCCAGCCGGGGAAGTCGAGTCTGAGGGAGAAACGACGACGTGCCCGTCGGGCTGGCAGGGGCCGCGGGAGAGGCCGAGAAACTTGGCGGAGGGAAGCAGCATCCTCGGAGAAGACCAGCAGGGGCATAGGACGCAGAGGTTAACCGGGGCCCGGGAGAGGGAGGTGGGCCGATTGTCATCCCGATCGTATTAACATTCAAAGCGAGTCAGGCGATTAATATATGTGGATTACATAAAACCTATTACACGTTTGTCCGTCAGTTCATCTCTTCCTTGTGATCAGCGAGTGCGTTTTTGGTTAGGGAAACAAGTTCCAGGGATGTTCAGAAAACGAAGGTTTTAAGACCCAGCCTCCTGCCGTTCACTTCCTCGGGAATAGCAGATAACCTTAATTAGTTAGAACGGAGAAACATTACTAGAATTAAAAAGAAAGAAAATGCAGATGGGGGTGGTGGTGGTGGCTAAATTACACCTTGTGACTAACTCTAGGTGGACGGGAGGGGACTGATTACCTCTGAGGTGAAGAGGGAAACAGCAAGGGGCGGCTTCCCACCCTTCCAGCAGATTGGTTTCTGTTACTACGTTTTGTTTTTTTTCTGGGAGAGGCTTTAGCTGTAGCTTCTTGCCGGGGTGCTGGGTTTTATTTAGTGTCCTCGCTCCGTTAATTGGGGGCGGGAATGTTACTAGGTAAACGTGGGGGTGGGGTGGGGGTGGGAGGGGCGGTTGATAGCGCACTCTGTTCCGAGTGGGTCTAACCGCTCTCCTGTCTCCCTAGTTTGAGCTCGCGATCTGGCCTGGGCTGCCAAATCACCCGATCTTCAGGCTTTCATCGGTTTGTAGGCCTTGTAGTGGTGTCTTTTTTAAAACTTACTCTTTTTCTTGATTCTAGATATTTTTAGCATTAAAATTTTTAAAGACTTGGCAAGTTGAGGCTTAGAATCTCATCTCTTAAAAACAACAAAAATACGTGGTAGAAAGTTGAAAGAGCTTTTATTGAATAGGGTAAAAAACTGATGCGGGGAACAAAGGTCTTAGTTGTGTTAAAAAAAAGGCAAGAGGCCTGTATATGAGGCCTTGTTTGTGTCGCATTTGGAGTTATTACAAACTTAGGGATAATAAATTGTGGAGGGCATTACAGAGGCCTATTTTCTTATGTTTATGCAGCTACTTCAGTATTAAATCTTAAGACAGTATTGACTTTACTCCTTTTTTCATGTTTAGTCCAAGACCTGGTATGGTTTTCTACTTGGTTGCTGCTGGGCTTTGTATATGACTGCTTGTCTAGGACTGTACCAATACAATAATTGCAAAGCTCTTTTATTGTTTCCATCTGCTTCACTGTTTCAGGGTTGTGAGAAGTGTTTAAGTGTGCTCAGCTGACATTCCGTTGTTCTCTGATCAGGCATTTTGTTTTAGCTTTTCGAATACTTTCTAGAAGTTTGAGAACTCTTGGCAGTTCCAGAAAGTGCTATTGTAAAATTAGAAAATATTGCCAGGTGGTAAAGGCCCATGCCTTCCTTGCCTTTAATCCTAGCGCTGGGGAGGTGGAGGCAAGCGGATCTTGAGTTTGGTCTACAAAGTGAGTTCCAGGACACCCTGGTCTTGAACAAACCAAAATAAAATTAAAAAATTAATGTTTTTTATTTTAATCAATAAAATTATTTATTTCCAAGATATTTATTCAAGCTCCCAAAACAACTGAGTTATTTTTGTTTTGAATTGCTGAAATAAAGCCAAATTAAAGTTTGAAAGCAAATGACTTTCATTTAGTTAGAGCTTAAATCAGTGCAGACTTTACAACCAAGCCTTCTGTCCCAGTTTGGAAGGGTCTGCTAGGTCACCCCCTCAGTCTTGTTCTCTCCTTTGCTTCAGTCTTTCTGTCTCTGAATCATCCGTACTGGGACTGTCTGTGCTGTTCTAGAAGAGTCTTTGCTTTCTTAATCCTAGTCTCCATTTCAAGTTATTTCTTTCGTAGTCCTATGACTTTTTGTCCTGCAATGTTTGGGTACCACTACAGTTACTATCTCTTTAACATCTTTCTTAAAACATCACTGTCTACATTTGAGAATACTTTTTAAGTGTGTTATGTTCTTTTCAGGCATTCTTTTTTTCTCCTTGCAGTGCGAACCTCACTTTTCCGTGTACTCTGTAACCTTTACCTTCGAGCACATCATGTGAAGGGCATCAGCTGAAGCTATTTATTTTTTTTATTTTTTTCTGAGAAAGGGTTTCTCTGTGTAACAGTTCTGGCTGTCCTGGGACTCGCTCTGTAGACCAGGCTGACCTCAGATCTCAGAGATCTGCCTGATTCTGCCTCCTGTTTGCTGGGATTAAACCTGTATGCTACCACTGCCTGGCAGTATTTAGTGGTGTTTTTTGTTTGGTTGGTTGGTTGGTTGGTTTTTCTTTTTTTTTTGATTTTTCAAGATAGGGTTTTTCTGTAGCTTTGGAGCCTGTCCTGGAACTAGCTCTTGTAGACCAGGCTGGCCTCGAACTCACAAAAAGGCCCGCCTGCCTCTGCCTCCGGAATGGTGGGATTAAAGCCGTCCGCCATCACTGCCCAGCGCAGTATTTAGTTTTTAAGACAGGGTTTTTCCCTCTATAGCCCTGGCTGTCCTGGAACACAAGCAGATCTGCTTGTCTCTGGAATTAATGATCTTGAAAGGGGAGTACGTTTTGGAGTGCTGTTTATTTTTATTCAAATTATAATGTGTTACCTGGTTAAGGTTTTATGGTTCTATTTTATTTTTGAATAATCTTGGGGCTGGAGAGATTGCTCCATTGCCTGCTCTTCCAAAAGTCCTGAGTTCAATTCCCAGCAACCACATGGTGGCTCACAGCCATCTGTAACGAGGTCTGGTGCCCTCGTCTGGCTAGCATGCATACACACAAACAGAATATTGTATACATAATAAATAAATAAATATTTAAAAAAATAAAAAAGAAAAATAAGTATTTTTTACTTTATATGTATGGGTGTTTTACCTTCATGTATGCTTGTGTGTCATTTGTGTGCTTGGTCCCCACTGAGGCCAGAAGAGGGCATTGGATCCCTTGGAACTGGAATTACAGACAGTTGTGAGCCATAGAGTAGGGGCTGGGAATCCCTATTCTCTGGAAAAGTAGCCAGTGCTCTGAATTGATGAACCTTCTCTCTAATCCCTTATTCTGTTTAAAGAGACATCTCTTAGAGAAGACACATTACTGAATTGAAAGTTGATGTTAACAGTATTGATGTGACTTTAGGTCCCTTAATCTACTCCATTTTATCGCTAATATGTGAATAGGCAGTATTTTCCACCAGGTGACTTTGGAAACCCAGAAAATATAATTAGTGGGAAAAAAAATCCAGCCGCTCAAGAAGGATATTCATATTAGAAAATTATGGTAGATGTTAGTGGGTCTTAAGTAAGGCAGAGTTGATAGAGCTATAAACTACTAATTGATTGGTAGTGAAACTTAAGCCCAAGTTTAGTATTAAAGTGAAAAAAAAGGCAAGTTTTATCTAGGTTTGCATTAACATTCCTGCTACTTGATGTATGTCCCACAGCTAAACTTGTTAATCCTACTTAGAGAAATGTGAGTCTTTTTTTAAAGTTTATTTTGAGTGTGTTTTACCTGCATGTGTGTATGTGTACAACATGCTATTTATACCTGGTACCTACAAAGGTCAGAAAAGTGTTTTGGATCCCTTGGGACTGGAGCTACCATGTGGATACTAGGAGTTGAATCTGGGCCCAGACAGTGGTGTTGCATGCCTTTAATCCTAGGACTTGGGAGGCAGAGGCTGGCGGATCTCTGAGTTTGAGACCAGCCTGGTCTACAGAGTGAGTTCCAGGACAGGTTCCAAAGCTACAGAGAAATCTTCTCTCTATAAAACAAAAAACAAAACAAGCAAAAGGATAAGTGCTCTTAACTGCTGAGCCATCTCTACAGGGCACCTTGTTTGCACATTTTTATTACTGACAGAATTTGTACTTTTTCTGATTTGTGGCTCTCACATAACTTTTTTCTTGTGTCTTATTTAGCCCAGCTTGGAACTCTGTATTGATGATGACCTTAACCTACTGATCTCCGGTGTCCACCTCAGGTGCTCTGATTCCCAGCTGACTTTTTAGTGTTAAGGGAAGTGGTTTTGTAGACTTTTTTTTGTTTGTTTGTTTCTGTTGCTTTGGTGCTTGTCCTGGAACTGTCTTGTAGACCAGGCTGGCCTCGAACTCACAGAGATCTGCCACCCAAGTGTTGGGATTAAAGGCATGTACCACTGTCAGCTGTCTTGTAGAATCTTATAGAATCTAGGGAGTTTTGGTTTTTTTTTAAA